TATTTGAACAGTTACAGCTATCGCAAGTCACGGCCAAATACTCTAACCACTCGAACAAGCGCCTTAACTTTTGACTACGGAACCCAAATACACAGTGTTTGTTTGAAGCACTTGAATTCTTTGAACAGCCGAGGAAATTTGTTCTCATCATGATTTTTTTTGCTGTTTACAAGAAGGAAACTAATTTGCAATTTAAACTATTGAGTTGTAAGGATTCTTAGCACTTTATTAGGGCTAACAGGCTCGGCGCTACTTATTTGAGTATAAACGGAACCTGCTACAGATTTTTTTGCCAGTGGTATATGAGGACCAGACTTGGCCGTGATAAGTTACCAGATAGTCTTACTTCCGGTATGTTCAAAGTAAAGGCAAATTGTGGAAAATAAAAACGAGCAAAACTACATCTTGAGTCGACTGGATAACTACTAGCGGATAGGTGGGGAAGTCAAGGCCTAGTGCTAGGCCTGTGTACACGTCATGGGGGGAAACATGTAACAAGACTCAAACGTTGGGGATGTCCTGGTGTGTACTTTACTCAGTTTCTGCAGTAATCGAAAGCATTATAAATCCCTAGAAACCAAGTAAGTACGCTGAGTTATCTCTAACAAAGGACTTCCAAGGCAAATTGGGTTATCCAGGCCCTAGGTAGTAACCCGGGCTCCTGCCATTGGGTAACTATGGTGCTCAGATAGGGTTGCCCCAGCTTTCGGGTGACCTTGCGGTATGTAGCATACAAAAGGCAAAAAGTGTGCCGGCACGGGGCTCCCCTTATGCGAGTTTTGCGATCTTTAGTGTTTGGATCGACAAACCGTAAATATACCCTCTCTTGCCATGAAAATATTGTTTGTCTCACTATTAAATCTGATGCATTTTCAGATCCGTACGGATCGCAACACTGTTTGTACGGACCGTTACAGTGCGAGTATACCGGACAACCCCCCGGTGGGGGGGGCGGGGACCCAAGGGAAGAGGGGGTTGGGGCGGGTGGCCGCACCCACGGCCAACCAAAAATGCCCCGTTTCCTCACCACTTTAAAACACAAAAAATAAGAGTAAAAAAGTAATGTCTTCGGTCTTAAACTGGCTGGGGAAAGGGGCAATTTTTTCTTGACGCGGGGGCGGCGCCACACCTTTAACCCCCCTTTCCTTGGGGGCCCCCCCCCCCCCACCGGGGGGTTGTCCGGTATACTCGCACTGTAACGGTCCGTACAAACCGTGTTGCGATCCGTACGGATCTCAAAATGCATCAGATTTAATAGTGAGACAAACAATATTTTCATGGCAAGAGAGGGTATATTTACGGTTTGTCGATCCAAACACTAAAGATCGCAAAACTCGCATAAGGGGAGCCCCGTGCCGGCACACTTTTTGCCTTTTGTATGCTACATACCGCAAGGTCACCCGAAAGCTGGGGCAACCCTATCTGAGCACCATAGTTACCCAATGGCAGGAGCCCGGGTTACTACCTAGGGCCTGGATAACCCAATTTGCCTTGGAAGTCCTTTGTTAGAGATAACTCAGCGTACTTACTTGGTTTCTAGGGATTTATAATGCTTTCGATTACTGCAGAAACTGAGTAAAGTACACACCAGGACATCCCCAACGTTTGAGTCTTGTTACATGTTTCCCCCCATGACGTGTACACAGGCCTAGTACTAGGCCTTGACATCCCCACCTATCCGCTAGTAGTTATCCAGTCGACTCAAGATGTAGTTTTGCTCGTTTTTATTTTCCACAATTTGCCTTTACTTTGAACATACCGGAAGTAAGACTATCTGGTAACTTATCACGGCCAAGTCTGGTCCTCATATACCACTGGCAAAAAAATCTGTAGCAGGTTCCGTTTATACTCAAATAAGTAGCGCCGAGCCTGTTAGCCCTAATAAAGTGCTAAGAATCCTTACAACTCAATAGTTTAAATTGCAAATTAGTTTCCTTCTTGTAAACAGCAAAAAAAATCATGATGAGAACAAATTTCCTCGGCTGTTCAAAGAATTCAAGTGCTTCAAACAAACACTGTGTATTTGGGTTCCGTAGTCAAAAGTTAAGGCGCTTGTTCGAGTGGTTAGAGTATTTGGCCGTGACTTGCGATAGCTGTAACTGTTCAAATACAGTTTTTATTGCTCTGACCAACTCAGTGATATATGAAGAACCAGCTCTTTCTTCCTAACAAAGTTTTATTCTGTAGACTTACGTAAATGACTCTATCTACACCCACAATTTCCAAAGCAAAATGCTTAAAACAATTACGCTGGGTAATATAACGCCTACGTACGGTTTTACTTCTGAAAGAATTAAGGAAATTACAATTCCATTTTGAAGCTGATTGCAGTACAATAAATAAAAGCACTAAAACAAACCTTGCGAACTCAAAACTGATGACATTATCAATCCAAAAAGCCCGAGTAAAACACAATAAAGGGTAGTTCTAGCAGTGACACACCCGCTAATTAGAACTTGTGGAGTACTTGCCACTTCAATACCCAAAAATACAAGAACCTGTTTAGCCAAGCAAGAGCACGCAGGGTCTTATATGTGGGTTATTCTGATAAACAATTTAACCAATTAAGGAGGTGTAACTTTGAGTAGTAAATTTAAGTATAACAAGAACATACTGTACTAAGCTGTATGGAAATTCCGTAAAATAAGTTTTGTTGGGATTATAATAATAAAATTATGAATAACCAAACAGTTTATTCATTTTCCTGGTAATCGACGATCTTTAATCTCCGTCCAGACTCCATTTTGCCAGACTTCTGAGCAAAAGTAGGTTCTTATTAGCGGGTGTTTACTGTACGAAAGCTAAGTAAGTAAAAGCAAGATCCCACACTACATAACACTACCCTACGCTAAGTATGAGAGACGGGCAACTTGAAAATAATTAACAATGATTTAACAGTTTTAGGTGGATAATTATTTCAGATATACCAACTATAAAAACCACTAGTTGACTATTCCATTCAGCAGGATGAATATGGAGCATTTTCCGAGTGCAATCCATTCTATTCAGATTTTGGAAAAAAAAGCGGACAGTCAAGCGACTGGGGCAAACTCACGTTTTGGAACATTTCTTTCTGGAATTTTCCGTTTCATTCAATTTTGGTTGCCGGAATTACCCATTGAATGGTTCGAAAGTCCAAATTCTCGGAGATTTTTCGTTTTCGGTTCAAAATAGCTAAACATAGTAACGTAGCGTGTGAGTACCTAGTCACAGCGCACAAAAAACATTCTCCTCTGGTTTGGTTGACATTACTACCCATTAAATGGTCATTGATTACGAATCATAATTGATTAAAAATGCTTATGAGGCGTTAACTCAAACAGCACACAAACGCTTCGGAAGAGCAACTAAACAGGAATTCCTTATAGGAAAGTATTGGTAAAAGCTACAGTCAGTTAACTTTCATCTTCTGTGGCTGCTGCTGTAGTTGTCGTCATTTCCTGGTCTCCTTCAGTAGTCGTCTGTACATACTCCACCTGTAGATTAACTTCAGTAGGCTTCACTTCAGGTACATAGACCGCCATAAGTGCAGCAGCTCCCTCGGCATCCTGGGATGTCACACCCTCGAAGATTTCCTTGCCTGCAGAAGCCTCGCCTTCCTCCATGGGTTCTTGTGCTCCAGCTAACTGATGCTGACTAGCGGAAACTAGGGCTTCCACTGCCGCTTGTAGAGCAGAAGACGCGTCGTGAGAGTGCCCTGAAGCGCCGTTAGCAAGACTCAGCTCCACTGTTGCCATCTCCACCTCTCCACTGGCTTGCACTACCTCTGTCACCTGCTGACCGCCACCTTGACTTTCTGCTACAATTAACGAGCTTGCATCCACAGTGGACGTCTCTTCAACGCTCTCACCAGCAATTCCTGCTTCAACAGTTTCCTCTGTCTCCATGGTAACACCACTGGCTGCCGCGGATTCGGCTATGACGTCAACATTGACGTATCCGTCTTCTTGCTCGCCAGTCTCGTCAGTTTGACTGCCCTGGTCTACGCCAGTGTGTTTGCGTTTGATATGTTTAGTCAGGGAGGATTTCTCTTTGAACTGCCTGTTACACACCTCGCACTGATAAGGTTTCTCGTCCGTGTGAGTGAGCTGGTGACGTCGCAGGTTGTACGGACTGGCGAACTCTTTGTTACAGATATCACAGATATGCAGCGTAACTTCTTTAGCTTTCACTTTGGCCTCTGAGGGGCACAAAACGACAAACACAAGCAAGTTAAAGGAGAAGGGTTTTACAAACGTTCTTAAGGTGCAGACAAAAATAAATTCACAAGTAACAAGGCGTACATCAAGAACGCAGGGTGGGTCCACATTCACATGTAACTGTATTCATGAACCGTGTTAGTGAGATTTTTTTATCACAGTAAATAATCTGAAAACAAGTTAGCATAAGGACAAAATGGCCACGAAATACACCATTGAATACTGTATGAAAGGTTTCTATTTCTGGAATACCCTAACAATAAATGTTTATCGAAAAAGAAACAACTGTACACAAAAGTATCCCTATCACATCTTTCTCATGGTGCTTGGACAAAAGAGTGATAAACGCCATTCTCATCAC